AGAGGAGAGCAGTATTTCTACTGGATTAGAAGAGCTGGATCCACCAGCCTGTTTGTTTACAGGGTCACAGGGCCGCTCCACCTCACCAGAAGTCCTGCTGCCTCGTTCTGAATCCCAGAAACATGGCGCTGAGCAGACCTGGAAATGTCCTCTAGTTTGTGATGTCAATGGGAGGTTTTACACGTCATGTGTACAGTTTACTTTTACTGTGATTTAAAATGCGCTCTTCGGTACCGATTCTTTCTCACCCCGAAGTAGGAAAACAGTGTTGCCGTTCCACTTTAAGGAAGGCGTGGGGGCCTGATATCTGTAGCCCCCCTGAGCGACTGGGGTGCTGTCTGCCGCCCCCGCACCCCTTCACCCCCAGATCGCAAGCTGTCAGCAGCAGGCCCAGGCCAAATGCGCGTCAGCTGTACAGAACCACAGAGGAAACAGAAGCTCATATTTAAATTTCGCCGTCAGATCTTTTTACATGTTGTTAACAACATGACACCTGAATTGACCTTGCAATACCTAGGTTTGACAAAGCCACGTTTTTGTCCTCGATTTGCCTTCTAACACAAATATTTGGGGGTACGTACGTCCCGGGCTCAGCGGGACCTGGGGGAGGTTTGGGGACCCCTGGAGCCCGGAGGTCAGTAGGGCTGATCCTGCAACGCCTTTGTTTTCCTGCAGGGGGCCTCAGCGCGGAGCATTCCTGCCTGGCAGCTGCTCTAGCTGGGGACCTCCCCGGCCTGGTGGCTGGGGGGTGCCCCGCCGTCCCCCCCTCTCCTTCCAGCCGGGGGGAGGGAGAAGACGAGGAAGCAGGGGAAGAGGAGGAGGAGGAGGGAGGGAGGGACGCCGGGACAGAGCCGCTGTCCCCTCAGGAGGGCCCGGGCGCCGGGGCTTCGGGGGGTTACTCCCCGCTGGGGCCCTCGGGGGAGTCGGAGAGCCTGGGGGACGCCCCGCTCAGCCCCCTGATCAAGAGCAGCCTGAGCGAGGAGCTGAGCGAGAACCTGCTGGGGCTGGGGCTCGGCTCGGGCGCCTTCGCCCCC